CCACACGTCTGCTTCCCGTAAGGAGCCGTGACTCTGAGGTCAGGAGCCTGCGTGCATTCATGTATTCAACACAGTGACTGAGCACCTACCGTGTTCCATGCCTTCTTCCAGGTGCAGAGGAGACAGCAGTGTACAGACAAATGTCCTGTTTCCGTTGATCATTTCAACTTTGTATGGTATTTTTCTTTGTATTCCCATAGTGCCTGGCCCTTGGTAGGTGGTCAAATGTTTCATGGGTGGATGGGTAGAGTAATACAATGAATATCTCTGATGTTGGGTGCACTTTATTTAAGCAAAATGAACAAAACTTGATGGGGAACTTGCTGTTCTAAGCTTCCTGAGAGGATGAGAAACCATTGTCATGACTATTGCAAATAAGCTATCGCTTTGCCTCGTCCTCCTTCCCCATGAGATTTTCTACTTAGCATGTTGCTGGATATAAAGCAGTTCGTGAGCAAAACAAGACAATGCTCATGCCAAAGTGTCTCCTTTGGAGAGATAAAGAACTACTAAAAGACTCTTTCTTTTTAATTATTTTTCTTTTTTGATTTTAGAGAGAGAGGAGTGGAGAGAGATAGAAACATCAATGAGACAGAACATCGATTGGCCGCCTCCTGCATGCCCCCTACTGGGGATTTGGCCCACAACTTGGGCATGTGTCCTGACCAGGAATCAAACTGGTGACCTCTTGGTGCATGGGTTGATGCTCAACCACTGAGCCACACTGGCCAGGCAGCTAAAAGACTCTTAAGAAATCTTTGACTTTTTTTCTCATGAAGATATTAATTATAAGTAATTTCTGTACAGAGCAATATAAAAAGATTGGCCAGAAAATCACTGCTATTCTCCTCTTTAAAACTCTTAAGCTTGAATGGTCTCCATTTGAATTTTGCATTACTTCAATGTTTGTTTCAGCCAAGTCCAGGGCAAGGATCTAAAGTCACAAAGAGGTTGGAGGTGGTGGTGCCACCTCCTCTGGAGAACCGGACAAGAGGCTGGTTCTCTTTGCAGACTACACTGAAATGTTCCTCACAAAGCTCTAACATTGTAACTCTGGTCCGTGCAACTCCTATCTTGGTTTCAGGAGTGTACATTCCCTGGATGCCATAGGAATACTATCAACATTATTTTAATTTATGCTTTTTTATTTATTATTTTCAAGATATATTTTAATTGGCCTGGTCGATGTGGTTCAGTGGTTGTTTGAGCATCGACCCATGCACCAAGAGGTCGCTGGTTCAATTCCTGGTCAGGGCACATGCCCAGGTTGTGGGCCGGATCCCCAGTGGGGGGGGGGCATGCAGGAGGCGGCCAATCAATGTTGTCTCTCATCGATGTTTCTATCTCTCTCTCCTTTCCTCTCTCTCTAAAATCAATAAAGAAAAAAATGTTTTTAAAAAAAGATATATTTTGCCCTGGCCAGTTTGGCTCAGCGGTTAGAGCGTCGGCCTGTGGTCCGGAGAGACCCGGGTTCGGTTCCCGCTAAGGGCGCGTACCTCGGTTGCAGTTTGTCCCCGGCCCTGGTTGGTTGTGCGGGTGGCAGCCACTCGATGTGTCCCTTCACGTCGATGTTTCTCTCTCTCTCTCCCTCCCACTCTACCTGAACAAAAAAACGGAAAAATGTCCTCGGGTGAGGATAAAAAAAAAAAGATATATTTTAATTGATTATTTTAGAGAGAGAGGAAGGGAGAGAGAGAAAAATCGATGTGAGAAACATCAATCAGCTATCTCCTGCACACCCTTTAATGGGAATCGAGCCTGCAACCCAGGCATGTGCCCTGACCGGGAATCAAACCTGGACCTCTCAGTCCATGGGACAACGATGCTGTAGACTCTAACCAGGGTTGCCTGACTCTGAAAATCTGTCTGGATCATCAGAAATTGTTTATTTCTCTCATGTGGAATTGATGCAATCTCCAATTAGCGCTACTCTTTGCGTGAAAGCGAGGCGTGATCTCAGGCTACTCAGCATGACGGGGAAACCAGCGACATCCTCATCACCCAGGTACCCAACCCCCAACTACTCTAACAGAATCTGCATTTTAACAAGATCCCCAGTGTTTCATTTGCTCATTCAAGTTTAAGGAGCTCAGCAAAGTGGCCTCAAATTAGGCATTTCTTTTTTTTTTAATTATACCATTAAGCTGTTAAGACATTTTGAGCTGCTTTGAGATTTTTTTTTAATTTTTTTTTTTCTTTATTGATTTTAGAGAGAGAGAAAGGGAAAGGGAGAGAGAGATAGAAACATCGATGAGAGAGAACATCAACTGGCTGCCTCCTGCATGCCCCCCACTGGGGATCAGGCCCACAACCTGGTCATGTGCCCTGATCAGGAATCGAACTGGTGACTTCTGGGTGCATGGGTCAACCACTGAGCCACACCAGCTGGGCTCAAATTATGCATTTCTAACAAGCTCCCAGGTGATTTGGTTCTACTGATGCTCAGGGCTTCCCAGAAAAAAAAAAGGGGGGGGGGGGGCGGGAAGCTCATTCTGGACTTCATCACAAACCTTCCTGAATCAAACACTCTCTGGGTATTGTAGTGACTATGTATGGTGACAGGTGGGTACTTGAAATATTGGGGGAACCACTTGGTAAAGTATATATGATTGTCTAACCACTATGCTGTACACCTGAAACTAAAAAAAAAAATATTGAATGTAAACTGTAATTGAAAAATAAAATTTTAAAAAATAAATAACAAAAGCACTTGGAACTTTGGAGAAAAAAGCCTGGGACTCCACCTCCACAGACTGCTCATTCCCAGGTGACTCTTTTTACGTGAAAGGTGGGGAACCACTGAAGCACGTCTAGCCCCCAGTGTAGGAGTCATTCACTCTTTGAAAGTCAGCCCAAGCTAACTGTTTAAAAGCTCCTCTGCATGTAACCGAAATCAGCCTGGAGGAAACAGGTATTACTCTCTAAATTAAAAAGTGTCTCTTCCTTAGTTCTTCAAAAAACTGAAGACAGTCCTTTCCCTTTGCCTGTATGACCTTCATCAGGCTTAGATTCCCTGATGACTGCTCCCGATTCTGTTCCTTGCTCTTCTGGTTCCGCCACCCCCCACATTGGAAACCTTTCAGTTCAGCACACCTCTCAAGTTAGGCAGCTCAAACCAGAGAAACCTCCAACGTGACCAACATAGTAGAGATCAGACTATCATCAGCTCGGATCAGAACAATGTATTTGTAATCATGCGGCAGGAGGTCACATTTTTGTTTTGTTTTTAGAAAAGATCTGTATCATGTTAATTAATATTAAGCTCCTGTGTAACTCCCAACTGTGATGTCCGTTTCCCCTGGGTCCTCATGAGATACCACCTATATACCTTCACAGTTAGGGATGGAATGTACAGGGCTTTACTTACAACCCTGATCAATGTCATCCCTGTGATCCTTGCCCACCGTTTCAGCCCAACAAAGGAGTTCTGGTTACTAGTCCTGAATAAACAGCACTGGATTCAGATCCAAGTCTGACCTCTACAACTCTGCTGTAGGGCCTTACGCAAGTTCCTTAGCCTTTATAAACCTACTTTTCATATTGCATAGGCACAATAATAGCACCTATCATAGGATAGTTGTATGGATAAGACAATGTAAACAGTATTTTGTAAATATAAAGCTGTGTAAATGTTTAAGAGCACCTCCAAGCTTCGAGTAATTTACACGAAATAACCACACATTTTTGCATCCATTCCGTTTTCCACCCCCACACCAAATAAGTGGCAGTCCTGAAATCTTCTGAAATACAAAAGCTGTCTCCTCCACTACCATCTATGACCTATTCTAGTTTGCCTTTTTTAAAAAATATGTTTTTATTGATTTTTTGTCTTAAAAAGGATGGGAGAAACATCCATGTGAGAGAGAAACATAGATCGGCTGCCTCCTGCACGCCCCCTACTGGGGACTGAGCCTGTAACCAGGCACATGCCCTGACCGGGAATCGAACCAGGACCTCTCAGTCCATGGGACCATGCTCAGTCCCCTGAGCCACACCGGCTAGGCTGTCTTTTTTTTTTTTTAAGAGAGAGAGGAAAACCATCAATATAAGAAATATCAATCAGTTGCCTCCCTTTCGCACCCCAACCAGGGACCAACCCTACAACCTGGGTATGTGCCTTGACTGGGAATTGAAGCCAAGACCTTTTGGTGTATGTGACGACACTTTTGGTGTATGAGACAATACTCCAATCAACTGAGCCACCAGGCCAGGGCTGGTTTATTTTTCTGTGTGTAAGGAATTCCTGTCTTCTATCCACAAAAGAGGAAGAGAAACCTAGCCGGAGAACCAGTTAAACCAAATACCATTCTGGTGCTCTAGATACCACCCAGGTGTAAGAGGATGAAATAAACAAAACCCGTAATGTCCCTGACATGGGTTCAGAGTGTTCAGACAGGGTATCTACTTCCAGTTTCTCATTGAAAGAAGAACTCAAAATTGCCGAGGTTCTGGCCATAGGAATTCTGTTGAGCCAGGGTTCCCAAGGTAAGCAACGTGGTGAAATATAAAACATAATAAATACATACAGTGTAATGTAACATACCATGCCGTAAGCTCTGACCCTGCCTTACTACCAAGAAGTTACTCAGGGGCCATGAGGTTTCATGCAGAAGCCTAAGAGCTTGTACAGGCCCTCCCAGGAGTGTAAGTTTCCTAGATGGACATGAATAAGACGAATATACTCCAAGGCCTCACCACTGGCACCTCTTCACCCCCAAATCCTCATTTCTTAAAACAGGGACAGTCTCAAAAACAGGAGCCTCGGGTTCACTGCAAAAGACTAGGAAATGCTCATTTGGTGCTCGGTCGTCCTTGTGAATCTCCAGGTACTTTTTTTCCAGACACAAACTTTTTACTAATTTGCATGATTCAGATTTAAAAGGCTGAGGTTTTCTGAATATACATATTTTCCCAAGGGATGAATCAAAGAGTTATATACTGTGAGCACACGCACAAGGCAAGGATTAAATATATGCAGACACTCAAGTAACAAACACCTAATATTTATTAATAAATTAGTACACTTGAAGGCATTTTTCCGATATCGGTCCCTCACCACTATCCACAAACCCCGCCCACGCAAAGGGAGTCCACACCACCTTTGCATCCGAGTCTGGCGATTGAGCAGGAGAGAGTATGTCTATAAATGGGAGCGTAGTTGTAAATATATCGGACAAGAGTTCTTACAGCTGCAGCCATTTGTAATTGAAGTGATTGACAGATGTAGGAAACCCAGCAAGACCAAAGCCTTGATCAAGGGCTGGACCTATCAACTATGTGTGGATAAAAAAGACATCTTTAAAGCAAAGCGGTGCAAATTCCCTATGGAAAAGGTACCACTGGCACTCAGTTGTGACTTTCTGAGGTGCAGCAATATGTTCCGGAACAGCTCAATCCCTAAAACACAAAGTTCAAGTTCTTGGGTGGCCCAGTTGTTGAGCCACTTAAATAGCAAGTCCTGGTGGCTCGAGGATTTCATGTCTCCAGCCCAGAGCATATTAGTGTAAGAGGAACCCAAGTAATGGAGCATTCTACATGGTGTCCAGGTGAAAATTATACAATCAGCAACAGTGTGGTCAAGTTTCGGCCATGAATGCGAACTACACAACAAGGCATATTCAAAAGACAACAACACAAAATCTAATTGAATTACAGTAACTCAATGGAGCCTCCCATTTCCTTAACCCTTAAGCAAATTCATAAATGACAAATAATAATAAAAAAAAAATAGCAAGAATAAAAGACATCAGTGTGGGTGTTGAGACAGAACTGCTTACAGACCTCACCAGACCATACACCTCTAAGGAAGAGGTGCAGAGCCCAGGGCGCTGGCGCGGTCGCCCCGCACGGTGCCACGCAAAGTGAATTTAAAGTGCACACAACAACTTGGAAAAATACATAGGAAGGCAAAACAGAAAATGTGGAACCTAAAAAACTTTAGTGGTGGGTATTTTGCAACAGTTACATCTTGAAAAGGTTTATAAACTAACTTCCCAGATGGGTTAAAAAAAAAAAAAAAAAAGAGAGAAAGCAAGCTCAAGACACTGGCCATATACTCTGTTACACACACACACACACACACACCCAAAAACAAAAAACAAAAACCAAAAAAAAAAAAAAACACAAAAAAAACCAGAAACAAACCACCCTGACACTAAGATGAGTCGTTTCCAGAGTGCAGTATCCCTTGTGTCCTACAACAGGTCGGGAAGATGGCTATAGACAGAGTCTAGGAGAGTCTGGCTGGCTTCCTGGCTCTTGACTCCAATGATCTCAAAGAGCCGGTCCAGCTTGTCCTCTGCCTGAGGAATCTCTTCAATCACCCGCAGCTCCTCAGGATTCAGAATGTGGAGCATGTCATCAAAAATAGGCTGCAAGTCACAAGGGTCCAGGCGCACCTGCCGCAACACCGTGTCCTTCTTTTCTGCCCGGGGAAGAGAGAAACGGGAAAGGTCAGCTGTAAAGGAAGTGCGCTAGGGGGACCCGGAGGAGGGCTAAGAGTGACAGCTACTCTCTCCCCAGGCTTAGCCCCACCCACCACCCCAGGCTGAGTGAGGGAACCTCTGGCACATTTTAAACAACATAGGAGTTTTTACTTGCATTGCACATAAGATAACAAAACAAGATTTGCCTAATAAAGATCTGACAAGGATCTGCTCGAATGGGTTGTAGATGTGCCTGTCTTTTAATGTGACAGTTGCCCAACTCTAAGCGACTTACTCTAAATTCTTCTAAAACTCGGAAGGAGAATGCTATACTTAAGAAAAAAAATACACACAAACAAATCTACTCACCCCACTAAAATGATTTTACTATTTTCCCCATAAGTGGTTTGTTTACTAAACAACGATCTCAGTCCACCCTCCCACCTTCCACAATTCAAAGTCAATGTGATCTGCTTAAATGACTTTCTAAGTACATTGCCGCATTTTAAAACTGATCTCCAAAGAACAGCATGTAAATAAGAAACTAATGCTTCTTGGGTCACACCTGACAACAGGGCGTGGAAATGTCTATTGCTATCATAAAAAGCTTTCTTTAAAATATAACACATAAAATATAAACTAATACATAGATATTTTACATCAATATAAAATACATGAATATAAGTATGTAAAGGATTTAAAATATAAATATGTAAAACAGAACATATTTTATAAAGCTATGAATCAGAACATAAAATATAACCCTTTCGCTAAAACATAACTGGAATTAAACAAACTAGGAAATTTCTCACAAAAACCCGTCATCAATATCGCGTGCACGTTAGTTCCCTGCCCTGCTATAAAACACGAAAGTGGCATATTATTTATCAAAAGTACAAATCCATAATGTTTAAAATATTGATATTTACAACCAAGCTTAACAGCGAATGTTAACTGGAGGCCCTAAAACCTGTACTTCAGACACTCCAGATAGGTTAATGCTTGAAAGCAGTGGGTTCTACAAGCCTGGTAAATAATTTTCAAAAAAACCGGCCAGACTCCATTTTATCAGAGCTCTCCTGAGACACATCGATAACATCAGGAGGACAGAGGGTGACAGGCGCTCCGAGCACAGGCCGCCAGCCCGGCAGGGGGCGCTGTACCGATGTTCCAGATGGATCCCCACCTGCGGAACGCGGTTTCTCTCACACCAGCCACGCAAAGGATCAACTCCCACTGGGCTGTGGGGTGGCAGGGCGAGTCCTGAGCGCTTTGGGGGGCTTCGGGGGCGTCTGTACCTTTGGTAATGAAGGAGCCCATCCTGCTCAGCGCAGAGGAGCCACTGGACGTGGAGTCACAGCGGAGCAGGGGCTCGGACTCGTCCACGAAGAAGCCCTTGCTCTTCTCCAGCGGGGAGGGCTCCACGGTCAGGAGGCTGGAGTTCTCGAGCTTCGTGTTGGGGCTGGGGATAGGGCTCGGGCTGAGCGGGCTGGGGCTCATGGGGAGAGCCAGCTTGTCGGCCTCCAGCTGTGGGAGGGGAAAATAAATAACCAAAAAAAAAAAAAGTTAAATGATATACTTAAAATCACAGAGAAAAAAATAAAATTAAAAATCCTTTCTCAGATGCTTTTTGTTCCATTTAATATTTTATAAACAAATTCTCCCATTTTGACCGTCCTCATAGACAGATACTATTGTGAGATACACATATACACAACACAGATTTAAAAATTTTATTTAAAAAATAAATAAAATAATATTTTGTTGATATTTAGCGAGAGGAGAAGGGAGAAGGAGAGAGGAGAGAGACATGGATGCAAGAACTAAGCATCAGTCAGCTGCCTCCTGCAGGCTCCTTAGCAGGGACCGAGCCTGCAGCCGGGGCATGTGCCCTGACCAGAAATCGCACCAGCAACCTTTCAGTGAGCAGGATGACACCCAACCAAGTGAGCCACACTAGCCTGGGCCACAAAACACCTTTGAACCCTTTAAAATACAGGTAAGGATATGTATGAGCATTAACAATCAGCAAGCATAGCACTGAGGTGCTACCTCGCAGGAATGGAACTGGACAAGGACAGAAGAGGAAGGTCTCCAGCTTGAAGTGTAATTTACAAGGTCTAAGGTAATAACCAGTATATTCTTCAATGGTTTCCCCTCAAAATTCACATGTTGATGTCGTAACTCCCCATCCTCAGAATATGACTGTATTCAGATATAGGCCATTTCCAGAGGTAACTGCGGTGTAACTGGGCGCTAATCCAACACGACCTGTGTCCTTATAAGAAGACACAGACGCACACAGAAGGAAGGGCATGTGAAGACCCAGGGAGAAGAGAGCATTTTCTACAAGCTTAGGAGAGAAGCCTCAGAAGACACCAACCCTGGTGACACCTTCATCTCAAAGGTCTAATCTCCAGAACCGTGAGGAAATGAATTTGTTATTGAAGCTTCCCAGTCTGTGGTACTTCATTATGGAAGCCCAGCAAACTAAGACACCCTTCTCTTTACAAGTAAGGGCATGCCTAACAGAAGTGACTTTCTTTTTTTTTTTATCCTCACCCAAGGACATTCTTCCATTTTTTGTTCAGGTAATTAAGGGCTCCCAACCAGTAAATGGCAGAACTAAGACTAGACCCTAGGTTTCCTGATTCCCGTTTCGAACTAGCTCAGGAATTAAATAAAATTGTTTGAATGCATGAGAACAGAACAGGAGAAGCATGAGCATGAAGCTTACATTCTGTACCGGGCACCAGAGAGACAGTAACAAAAAGCAAACAAATGAGATGGTTTCAGACGGAGAGAGTGAGCTTCACGACCCCTCTGACTGGCGTGCGGAGAGCGGGTTTTAGGGAGACAAGAATCAAAGCAAGGAGAGAGTTAGCAAGCTGCTACTTTGGCCAGGTGAGGTATAATCATGGCTGGACCAGGAATATAGCAGAGACGGGAGAAGTGACGGGTGTTATCATCCCATTCTACAGGTGGAATGACTGAGGCCCAGAGAGGGCACACAGCCAGCTGGAGAAAGCCCATGTTCATCTCAGGTCTGCCTGCCATCTCTACTCAGCCCTGTCATCTGACACTCTACTTCAGAACTCTGGCAGGTACTCGTGGTATTTTCTAGCCCATTAACTTTATCTTTTTATTGGCTCTTCTGGCATGGGTAAAAGTCTGGGAGCCAGGGTGCACAGGACAGGGTTCAGGGAGTGATGTGCACACTTCCCAGAGCTGTTGTTAATCACCGCTCATTAGAACCCTCATGACTTCACTCACACAAGTCAAGCAAAGCTCCAAGGTCCTCAATCAAGAAGGCATTGACCCTCGTCTCGAAGCATTACGTTGAATAGCTGTAAAACGCACCAAGCAAACACAACAGCCTCTTTTACAACCGTTAAGGCCTAAGAAATCCTTGCAATTGACTGCAGATTCCGAGGACCACTGGTTACCACACATCTAATGTCGTTCCAACTGCATTCCCCGCCCCCCATGCGACCACCCTCACCCCACTTCTGCTTCCAGTGGGGAGGTTAAGCCTTGGATAACACAGGTTCCCAGCAGCCTCCTTCTGATCCACAGACAAGTTTTATGTATCTGCTTTTAAATTTTTATTTCAATAGGCCCTGGCATGTGCCCCTGCTCCCTGAAAATGCACATGGCCATTCATGCCAATGCACGGTTTTTATTCACTCGGACAAAGAGCACTTGTCTACACTCGGATTCTCGGAGACATGACAATGGACGACAGGGTCAGTCAATATAGTGCACTGTTCTTGCTTAAAAAAGAAATCCCTGCCCACAAATGACATGCCAACAGACTAAGAAATCCACCCACCTATTTCCTGAAATCGGTCCAAAACTTTAAATACTGAATCCCCCTACACACACACTTTTGCCAAAGGATCCTATCAGTGGAAATGAAACACGTGATTCCCAACATAACTTGGAAAGACAGAATGCTGGTGTGATGCTCTCCTGTAATGAAGAGTCAAGTGAGTAAGAAAATGTCCCTAGGAATTGTTTCGGCATCACCACATTGGAGCTAACAACGACCACTAAAGCCAGAGACCATGACAATCATCCTTCTAGAAAATCCATTCAGCTACTAAGGACACGCTGTGGCTGGTTGCATTCCAGCTTTCCTATAAGACAAAAATTGCTCCTAGAAACTTACTTCTTTCCTCTCCTTTCCTTAGTATTTACAATCTCCCTCAAAATTGGTCTGCAACACCATATGCAGAGCAAGCACTGTCACCTGTGGTCGCTCTAATCAGAAATTGAGGCATCGGGATACTTGGAAGAAATGAATTCTTCATTCTATTAAGTCAGACAGTTCATGGTTCCGTTTCTGAGATTCTAACAACTAAAGAACATTTATATAAGCTGTAGATACTGAAAGAGAAGACAGATATTCTAAACAAGAAAGTCAGATTTCCGCAGAAGAGGGTCTTATCTTCTTACAAAAGCTTTGAGCATTGACTTTTCAAAACATGCACAAAATGAGTAACTTAATTTATTCCTTATGCTTCTTTGAGCGTTCCAAATTCTCTGCTGGGACATATTAACTTTATAATTAGAAAAACAATAAATGTTATTTTTGAAAGCAGTCACCACTGATAAGTATATTTCCCTTCAGCTAACTTGAAAATGTTGTGGCTGCGGCCTCTTTTATTTATATCGGTAGCCAAGAAACAGGAGAGTTGGAAGAGCATCCACTTGGCTGGGCTCCTCTCTATACTTTTGTTAAATGCTCACAGCACAAAAGGGCAACACTCCCCCCAACTACTTGCAGTGAGGGAGATAAAAGAAAGGCCTCTGGGAAAACTTGGCCAATGAAGGAAACGTCTCCACCAAATGAATCTGAAGCCCCTTCGGAGAAACTTCAAAAGTAGGGTTCTTTTGGCTTTACAGCCATGAGGTCATGGTGCTCACTTGGAAGGCTCAACTGAGAGATGAGGGAGGTAGAGAAAGACAGACAGACCAAAGGGGGAGAGGGGAGCAGGGAGAATAAAGGACGAACCAGCCAAAAACAGATAGTTCTATTGTGGAAATTTCAAGAGCATGTCATATATTTTGGCCAAATGAGCCCCAAATGTCCTCCTGATTGGTGTCCATGGAAGTACATTTAGTCCTTCCAAATAGTGCCGTTATTAGTCCAAACTGGTATGGGAAGAGATAAATGGTTCCCCTGACTCAACAGCTGAGTCACGCCTCAGGAGCGCCACTGTTGACCTGAGCGGTTCCCTTTCTGATTTCCAGAACTACTGAGTACGAAGAGCCGTCCAGATAGGTCAGTGAACAGGGGCATGACTGGGATGTGGGAGCTTGACCCTCTCCGGGCTACGAGGTTGGTGGCTCTGTTTATGAGAACGAGGATCTACCGTGCCTTCGGATTGTACTGAAATGAGCCATTTCCAGCTGTGTCCCTCAAACCCTTCCTCCTGCCTCAACCAGAGCACCCCAAACTGACTGCTCATTCTGGGTACTCCACTCAGTCACAACCATAATTCTCCTCTTTTCATATCCAACCAGAAAAATCCTTTCTGTCCCCTGGTGTGGAAGTGTTTCTCTAGTGCCTGGGGCCGGGGGAGCCTGAACGGTAAAGGAATGCCCTTCCACGCTTTATCCAGGACAAGGATGGTATGTAAATGGAACAAGAGCACGTTCCTGCTCTCAGATCTAGCAGCGATGCCCTGGCCAGTCTGGTTCGGCGGTTGGAGCATCAGCTCGCAGACCAGAGAGTCCCAGGTTCGGTTCCCGCTAGGGGCACGTACCAAAAATAAGTAAATAAATAAATCAGACAACCCTTTCTTTCAAAAAAAAAAAAAGATCTAGCAGCACTCCTGAACATACTCTACCAGCAGAAATGCACCAAGAACTCAGGCCTCCGTAGCCATCTTTTCAACACACATGTCATGGTCCCCACAGACAACTCCTAAAAATCAAAGTCATGAAAATCCTGGAACATCACTGCAAGGGAAGGAAGGCAACTAGATCAGGGACTAGCTGTGTGGTCTCAGAAAAACCACTTCCCTCCTCAGACCTGCTTCTAAATCAAAAGGGACAGATGAGGTCATCCCTGTTCAAATTATGTCATTTATTGTTTGTCTTCTTATTGCTATTTCCTTCTTCACGCCCACCCCAAACCCCTTTCCCCTGTCAAGTTACCCACAACTGGTTCACTCAACTAAGGTTTCCCCCCGAGTTATTTTCAATTACTACCCAATTACAATCTCCCTGTGGTTGCACAATCTGTTTTCACAAAACTAATTAACAACTTTGATGCCTCAGTGACCCCCTGAAATGAAGTATTAATTACCCAGCCTGAATGTTCCTTACCAATCTGCTAAAATAATTCAACTTAACCCCTGGGCTCCTGCCACTCCCCAGCTGGATTCCAGGGGCCCCCTTTGCTCCCTCTGCAGCCAGACGTGGCCGGCAGACCCAAGAAGTCAAAAGTCGCCCTGTCAACTCAACTTTTCCTCCAGACAAGGGGCAGTTCTAGAGGCAGGGTCTGCGAGAACCTGCTG